TCGGAGCTCAATTGCCTCCTATTTACATCGAATTTTCTTATAAAATTATCATATTTCGAAGTAAAACTATGTTTTTTCAACTTCTACAGCCAGCACCGACATTGTAGTAAACAAATATGTTACATTTGTTGTTTACCTACGTAATTCTAAGAGATACTGTGTAGCTGTCCTTCTTGCTCGGAAGATGCGCTGACAATTATTGTATATATTTACTGAATTTACCCAAGGGACACTAACTATCTAGTGGCCTCGACGAGGACAGAAAGCCGGCGGCTTGTTAAAGGGCCCGCCAATTGTCTTAATGATATTTTTTAGCTTGAATTTGGCATTTACATTCAGCGGGAAGGCAGTTCCATGGCTTTATTATCCTCTTGGTGGAAAAAACATCTATTTTCAGTCCTACTTGAGAGAACATACTCTCCAACACTATATCTGTGATTGCCCTGTTATCAGTGACTTCATACCAAATGGTATGAGGTACTTTGAGCTCTGCAATTACTTCATACACTCAGGAATATTGGAAGATATTCTTGTGCTGCACCCAGATTTTTCCAGTGGAGGCTAATATAGATCAGCCTTAAGTATTTTGTTCTCTCCTGGTTCCATGTATGACTGGCCATCCTGTGAGGTGAGGATGTTGGATGAGCTTGTAGCTGGTTTTTGATCTACATTGTGTAGATCAAATATACATAATAGGGAAGCAGCACATTGTTGAGTATACCTAAACATGTTAAAAAATATATTGTTTGAGAGGAGTCTTGTAGAAACTGGTAAGAGTAATTATAATATAATGTTTCCATGATTCAATGCTTACCTCTTGGTAAAATCGTGAAGAGTTGTTTAGTCAGAGTTGATTTGTTTTTTGTATTGAGGCTGGTATTTTCTATCTTGATTCCATGTATGTCTAACCATCCTGTGAGATGGGAGCATTAGATAAACTTATAGCTAGTTTCTTATCTACACTGTGAAATATTCCATATAGAATTGGGTAGCAGCACTTTGCTGTGTATACCTAATCTTCTTAATAAAAAAAAATCAGTAATAAAGATGTTAAATTATAGTTTGTATTATTACAAATACTGTATTATCCTTATTAAATCATCTTAACCATGGATCATTAGATCTCATATTGATGTGTAATAGTCATATTTCTTTTGAACTGCAAATCCATGCTAATCATTTTTGAATCATTCATTAAATTGTGCATTATGTCTCAATTTTTCACTTCCTTGGATATACTGTACAGTACAAAAAGATAGGCTAAAAATAAACCGGTAATATTTCTTTCATGATATTTTTTTATTTAAATAACTGCATCAATATTTTTACAGCTGACAGGATTTGTTTTATCATATAGGTGCATTATATGTTAAAAAAAATGGTGTATTTCTACACACAATGGTGCTACAAAGCCTTCCCAGCCTGGTGCCTTCTTTTAATACTTACTTACTGATTAATAAATAAATAATAATAATAAATTTTATTCAGGAAAAGTACATACAGTTGATTTACAAACATAATGTTGGATTTATAGACAGAGCTAGTACATATAATACCTAAAGCCACTAATACTCATAACATTTTGGGCAAGGTGTGGAGGAAAAACACTTATACTAAAACTTAATAGTAATCGGGATTAGGTATAAACTGTGTTGAAATAAGGAATAAAAAATGAAAAAGGGGGAGTAACATAGCGGAAATCTGCAATTGTACACGTTAGTGAACAAACAGCATTGTTTAAAAAATATCAAGACATGGGTTGACATTTAGGGGGTAAGGTAGGTTACATGGAGTTAATTAGGTTGTACTTGGTTTTACTCTTAAACTGGTTGAGAGAGGTACAGCCTTTGACATGATTCGGGAGGTCATTCCACATTCTGGGTCCTTTGATTTGTAGAGGACTTCAAGTTTTTTACACACAGCCAAATTGTGTAACAGGAAGAGGTCTTGGACACAAATTTATTCCATGCTAAATGTAGAGAAATCAGCTAAGTATTCTTCAAATAAAATAAGCTGCCTCAGCTTATAAGGTAAATAAAATAAGCATTTCTCCATCAAGTAGCTGCCTCACCTCACTACCTTACTGCTACATAGCCTTCCCGGCATGGTGCCTTCTTTTGATAATTACTTGTTCCACACCCAAGTTGTGTAACAGGAAGAGGTCTTGGACCTCTACTTCCCTCTCTCTTTTTTAATAGTCCATATAGGCATAATTATAGCTTTAAGTATTCATTGAATAAAGTTTTTGACATTTTTACCCATCTCCTTACCTAACATCATTTGTGCAGCATATTTTTATTTTATGTCCCACCCAGATTTAATTACAAAATAAAACCAAACTAAATAAATTAGAAATGGGTATGTATAGCTAAGGTACACCCTTACTACTAGGTGAACAGGGGCATTTGGTGATAGTAAATGATCCCATTAGGCAGGGCTCATGACCTCTCATATTTCATGTTCACCAGTGTTTATTTACTTAATAACTACGGGTATAATATCTTGCTATTATAAAACTAATTCTACTATCATAAAAGACATATTTACTTAAGTTTCAAGCAGAGAATGCATATATAACTAACACGAAGGACTCCACTTCACGAGATTCACCAGCTATAATATCCTGTTAGGGGACTGGTCAAGTCGTCGACTGCAGTTTCGGATAACAACTTCGTTCACGGATAATTTTATACATTCATACCTTTTCGTTCGTACATGCGCTGGTTTGTGTTCGCTGCTGTTCTCGTCTGAATAAATACATGGCACTTTTTTTTTTGAGATATATACAAGAGTTGTTACATTCTTGTACAGCCACTAGGTCGCGTAGTGTTTCGGGCAGGTCCCTGGAATACGATCCCCTGCCGCGAAGAATCGTTTTTTCATCCAAGTACACATTTTACTGTTGCGTTAAACAGAAACTACAGTTAAGGAATTGCGTCCAGTAAATCCTCCCTGGCCAGGATACGAACCCATGACATAGCGCTCGCGGAACGCCAGGCGAGTGTCTTACCACTATACCACGGAGACTGCTGATCTTGATCATATAATTATAAATAAAATAAATAAATATGTTTATTCAGGTAAGGTATATACATACAAGTGATGTTACATTAATGGATTGATATATAGATAGAGCTAGTACATACAATGCCTAAAGCCACTATTACGCAATGCGTTTCGGGCAAAATTACAGTAGATTTAGCATTTATGTAAGAATCTACCTCAGCGTCATAGTAAAATTTTACTCATAAATATAATCTAACCCTGTTATTTTTTTTAATTTTAAATTTAATTGTAATTTGATAGTGGCTTTACAAGATTGCAAATATGCTATGTATGTATTCTTTTATAATTAGTGCTTAACAGTGCTTAGCGCATTGTTTGTATTACTGTGTTTGTTAACAAAGCGAACTCTTATCAGAGAAGGGAAGAGAAGAGAACTACCAGGGGGAAAGCGCCAAGCCATTAAGACTATATAGCACGTGGAAGGGGTCAGGTTAAGAGGGGGAGGTTTCTTTTATTAGAAAAACAAGGTGCAAACCATACCCCCTTACAATTGAAATCTATTTATTTATATACAAGAAGGTACATTGGGTTGTGAGAGTATGTAACACTTATTAAGAGGTATATTGTAGCAAAGTTTGAGTTGACGGAGTGGATAGCACAAGGGACAGTGTGAGTTTGAAACACATTTAGAAACAAGGCACCGCCGAAGGAGGCTATTATTTGTTATGCACCCCATACTCAACCAGTAAGTAGTGGAGCAAAGCATAGATTACATGATCATAAAGTCTTAATCAGACCTCAGTGGCTATTTTTACATTATCATTTACAACTAACTTAAGTAAAATAACAACCAGTAAACAGACTGCTGTTTTCTAATTCTAGTTCAGGCACTTCCTGGGATAAAACGCGAACATTCCTTGAGGAACTATGGGGTGCTTATCTGTTTTTCCTCGTAACAGTCCCAAAGCTTCCACAAATGTTCCTATTTCTCTTTATTGCCCTTGCAGCGACTGGACTTTAGCTTTTGATCAGAAACCAGTTGGTATTGCAAGGTTACCAGGGACGCCTCACGGTACAGTAAGGCGATTAATATATATATAGATAAGTTGTCCCTCACTGCCCTTTGATTCAGACGCTGGTGCCATCCTTCTACGTCATTGTTTTTTTCTTTTTATTTGTAAAACAAAGTAAAATAGCGTACATTCAACCATATAAAACAGTAAAGCACAGAATAACAAGGAACACAGAATGACAACAACACATAACAAGTAACACAAAGCAACAGAACACAAAAGGGAAACCAAAGAACAATAAAAAATACATAGGAAAATACATTAAATACACATAAAAACAGCTAGCCAAAACAGCACAAGCAGTGATCCATAAAGCACAAACACATGAGAACAAAAAAGAAAACAAACATAAACAGGAAAACAATGAAACATACAACAGGAAACATGAAAATGACACAATGACATAGTACAAAATGAATACAAAACTAGGAACAAGTCAGCCTGAAGGGACACACAAGCATTACTACAAGCTAAAACAGACAGGAAATCACAACCGGAACATGCAGGAACTGGCAAACACACACACACACACAAACAGCCCTAGAAACAACATAAGCAACAGAACACAAAACACACACAGCACACTACAACAACAACAACAAAAAATCGCACGCGGAACTCACAAACACACACATCGCCTAACAGGGTGAAACCAAACACGGAGACAAACCAAACATAAAACCGCAGACACGGTAACAAAATCACAGAGTATACAAGTAAACACAGGCACTAACGATACTTGTCCGGAAAATCCTTTGCCGGGAAGCAGAAGCACTACGCCTCCTAGATCAGCTGGACGTCTTCGAACACTGGTCTACCAGGAGACGCACAAGGCCGAGGCATCCAATCAGGCACCCTATAAATAAACCCCTTTAATCTCGGTACCCAAATAGTCGACAAGCACCACGGGCCCTCACGCACCCTGTCGTCCCAAACTAGGTCCAAAACCCGTGACTTAGGGACCACGCTCCCGTCGGCCGCGAGCACAGGGAAGTGGTCCACACTAGAAGGTGTCGCACCAGTATCGGCAACGGGAGGTTCCCTGGGCGCCGCACAGGGCTTTGTACTGGCTGGCGCACGAGGCTTCTCACAAGGCTTCACACGGGGTTGCACACTAGGGGAACCCGCAGAGGACACAGACGAGTCGGGGCCCCCGCCACCGAGCACAGGAGCAGAGGCACCTTGGTGCACATCCTTCCGTAAAATCACGACGAGGTCCCGGTCGGCAGTAGCAACCACTAACCGTGGGGAGTCATCAGCAGTAGGCATCGGGGGCGACGCCGGAGACAGCTCAGAGCCCCCCACAGCACCGCAAACATCGGCAGGAGAAGAAACATCAACCCTCGCCGCATCCTCACATTCCACTGCCCACGAACGAGGAGGCGAAGCACCCGTATCTGTACGCAAACGCTTGGGGACAGGCCGTTGATCAACGGAGCTGTCACCCCCAGCAGGAGGCACCCGAGAGGGGCCGGCGGCAGGCCGCCCCACAGCGGGGGGAGCACGACCCCGCAGAACGTCAGTCTCAACTACACGGGGGACGAGACCGCCACCCACAGAAGAGACAGGAGAAGGAACAGGCGCGTCCGCAGGAGGGGAAGGGTCCAACACAGGTGAAGGAGCCCGCAGAGACGTTGGAGGCGCAGAGTCGGAACCAGGTGCAGAAGCCGGTGGAAGCAACGAGACCGACTGCGGGGGGGAGGGGGGGGGAAGCCGCACACACCCCCACCTCGTCGTGTACACCACCATCCACACACTCCGGGCCAACAGCCATCACCAGGTCAGCACCTCCTCACCCACTCCATCACGAGGCGACAGGTCGTGCGCTACCAATGGGGGAAAAAAAGTGCAATCAGCTGCCAGATGCCCCTCAATGCCACAACGAAAACATTGTCGAGGCTGTCCTGCATAGAACACCTGCATAGTGTAGCCCATCAAAGTCACCGCGGAAGGAACAGGAGACTTGAGCCACAGGCCAAGAGCCCGGGGTCCCACACGAGACACCACGCCACCTGCCGGCAGAGACGGAGTTCATCCAGATTGAAACGACAGTCCCAAACTGGCCAAAATACCGTCAAAGCAAAGCCTCCGTGAATTCAAACGGCATACGATGCAGGGCCACATACATCACCGAGCAGCACTGGTCAGATATAGTGACGGTACCACCGTCCCCAGGGAAAGGAAGAGAGCGCTCATCGTAACGGGCCACGAAGTCTATAAACAGCAGCGGAGTTAAACTTAACAAGCGCCCGATGGGTAGCAGCAGTTGGAGCCCGTACACATCGGCAACTCGCAAACGCAGCATATTCAACAGGACAAGGGCCAGGTAAGACGCTCGGCCAGAAAATTCCTGACCCACGGTCTCAGAGCGGCGAATAGGGGGGAGGGAGGGGGGGTACCCATGACGCCGACGCAATAACAACACCCTCCCACACGGTACGCCAAGCAACAACTCCTTCTACGTTATTGTTGGTCCTCACCAGTCGTCTGAATGCACACCAGCTCCCCAATTCCAACACACTGTTGCACAGCCACGTATTTTTTATGTAATGAGTTAATTGTGTCGTTAAGGGTGAACTGCTAGCCGACTTTTCTAATTCAGCAAACGCCTTACACTTATGTAGTATATACGTACCACATAAGTACGTGTGTGTTACACACGTACACATACACACACACCTTGTTAAGCACAAGACGAAGCTTGAAAAAGTTTAGTGGTATGCCAATATGCTAGTCCCAGAACTAAGAGGCATGAGTTACGAGGACAGGCTGCGAGAAATGCACCTCACGACACTGGAAGACAGAAGAGTAAGGGGAGACATGATCACTACCTACAAAATTCTCAGAGCAATTGATAGGGTACATAAAGATAAACTGTTTAACACGGGTGGTAGGTGAACAAGGGGACACAGGTGGAAACTTAGTACCCAATTGAGCCACTGGGACGTTAGAAAGAACTTTTTCAGTGTCAGAGTAGTTAGGCAGTGATGTGGTGAAGGGTGAAGTTTCAAATGCATATAAGATAGAGCCCAGTAGGCTCAGGAAACTGTACATCAGTTGATTGACAGGTGAGAGGTGGGACCAAAGAGCCAGAGCTCAACCCCTGCAACTACAACTAGGTGAGTATACACACAAACACACACACTCACACACACACGTACACACACACAAACATACACTAATGCCTCTATTCACCTTGCAGTAAATAGGAACCTGGAAGTCAGAAAGCTGCTAAAGGCTGCATCCTGGGGATGTGTGTGCGTGTGTTTGATAAAAATATATGTTGTTTAAATATGATGGAAGAAAAGAGGCCGTAAGTCGGTACATTAGACAACCGACGCTTAGAAAGGCGGGGTCCAAGAGCTAACAGCTAAATCTTGCTAATAATAAATCAAAATATTTAATACACACACATACATGTTTTACATGAATTTGGCTGAGGGCGATCATCTCTGATGGCCTCGACGGGACAGGAAGTCGGTGGTTGATCAAAGGCCTCCCACATGCTTCACATGCCTGAGGATTTTTCCGGCTTAATTTTAAACGGAAGTAATGTCTTGGCATTTACGGCTTCAGCGGGTGGGTGGGTCCGTGGGTTTATTACACTATGAGTGAAAACAATCGCCTATTCTCTATTTTATATTGCCGCTTGTAGAGCTAGAAGCTGTTGCCTCTTATGTGCGTTGCACAAGGGGATTAATATCTAGATTAACATATTTCAAAATTTCCAGTATTTTTAAAGGTATCGCTAAAATACCGAAGATACTGTTATTGGACACCACTTAATTGACAATATCTCAACAACGCAGGCTGAAGATGTGCGTGGCTCCTGCTATTGCAATGATGCTCATTTGCTTTTCATGGATGCTCATTTGCTTTTCAATGATGCGCCTTAGTTGCCCCATTTCTACCTTACCGTTCTAAATACCCCTTCTCCATCTTTTGCAAACATTCCCCTCATAAATCTCCCCCCTTTCCACCTGTCCCCCTGTCCATCTTTGTCCCCATGTCCCTCTCTTTGTCTCCCTGCCCACATTTTCTGTCCTCTGTCCCCGATTCCTTTCCCCCTGTCCCTCTCTCTGTCCCCCCTTTCCATCTGTTACGGCCCTCTCGGGACGCAACGGGGTTCTTACTCTGATGTTGTTAGAGGAAGTTGTATCCGACCCCAAGCCAGTAGTGGCTTTCAAAGGATGTGATCCATGACGCAAGTAACTTAAAGGGGAAGGGAAATAAAGGCAAAAACTTAATATAATATATTAACCACCACCAATAAATAATATATAAAAAGATTACACAGGGGAGGGGTATTAACACTGTACACATGTCTTCTCCTGAAGACCCTGGAATCAAGCTCTCGGTGCTAAGTCGTCGGTGCTTCTTCGTGGCCTCACAACGAATCCTCTGAGAATGCCAAGCCTACCCTGGCCACAGGTCAGCCAAAACACAGGTCCACTGGGGGCACCGCCGTGGAGGCCGTCAACCACAAATCCAGCAGGGGCTCTGCTGGCAGGTTCCGGACCCGCAACGCTGGTCAGGCCACTCCACGAACGATATAAGGGGAACGCCCTAGACAGGAGCCTCGTGTGACACTACAAATCACTCTCCTGTCCTCAATACCCCAGTGGATAAACGTCTCCAGCAGTCGGTCCCGGGAACGACGATCCTTTCAACTGCCACTCCACTGGCAGGGTAACACCACAGTGTTCTTCCGGGGGGACGACTTCACAGCTGCTGCAGCAAAGCACACGTTATGGAGACGGCTGCCTCGGGTAGACTGACTCGACTTCCATCACAGCAGTCCCAGGTCGACTCTGTAAGCAGACACGTCATCAATAACTGGGACACACTAAGGCACCTCACTTACAGGCTCAGACACAAACGCCCACCTATCCACTCCATAGATGGCGCTGGTGTCTGAGCACCACCTCACTAGAGGTCAGCAGCGGCTGTGTTGAGCGCTGAACCAGACTAGAAACTGGCCCTCGAGGCCAATACATCCCGTCCTCGCCAGGTGTCGTCGTCCATTTGGTGGGGGTTTCGGGAGCTGACCCACAGATGGCGCGGTTGTCACTGCTCCGGGCTCGGACGCTGGATCCGGGTTCGTAACACCATCTCTCTGTCCCTCTCTGTCCCATTGTCCCTCTCTCTGTCCCCCTGTCTCTCTCTGTCCCCCTGTTCCTCTCTGTCCTCCTGTTCCTCTCTCTGTCCCCCTGTCACTCTCTGTCCCACTGTCCCTCTATGTCCCCCTGTCCATCTATGTCCCCCTGCCCCTCTCTCTGTTCCCCTGTTCCTATCTCTGTCCTCATGTCCTTCTCTCTGTCCCCTGTACCTCTCTGTCCCCCTGCCCACTCTTTCTGTCCGCTGTCCCTACACTGTCCCCCTCCCTTTCTTCCAGTCCCCCTGTCCATCTCTGTCCCCTTGTCCCTGTCTCTGTTCCACCTGTCCCTATCTCTGTCCCCTGTCCCTCTCTCTGTCCCCCTGTCTGCCCTTTCTGTCCCCCTGTCCCCATCCCACTCTTTGACCCGGTCCCTGTCCCTCTGTCCCTGTCCTTCTCTGTCTCTGTCCCTGTCCCTCTCTCTTTGTCCCCCTCCCCACTCTTTCTGTACCCTGTCCTTCCTCTGTCCCTCTGTCCTCCCTCTGTTCCCCTGTCCTCCCTCTGTCCCCCGGGCGTCTCTATGACCCTGTCCCTCTTGTTGGAAATTTCCAACACTAACACACTACCATTGTATTATAATACATCATAATTATATACTAATTACAGTAGTTATTAATTTCACTAACGGTAGTGTTAATATAAATTAATATTTCTTTATCTGAGCCTATTGCTAATATTCTCATGACATCGAGAGGCAGGATTGCGTCAGATAATGTACATTTAAACATATTTATTACCAATATGTTAGAGAATTGAATGTGGTTCTCTAAAATTATCAGTATTCTGTACAATAATTAACTACAGATAATATAGCTCCCAATAATCCAAAACCGAGAGTTATTAACTGAAATTATTATCAAGTAGCAGTTTTATCTGATACGTACGAATGCTATGGAGGAAATAAAATTTCTCTCCATTTCTCGATTAGCACCATTTAACGAGAATATGATATTATTTAATTCCCTATAATTGCAACCCGATTCTCATTAACGCATTACATCAGTAATTACACAGAAAAGAATTTTCCGTGGTTAGTAATTTCTGTTGTGAATGCGAGAGACGAGTTGAGGAAGGGCAGAGAGACACCGCCATTCGCCATGCTGCTTCGCTAGAGACGCCAACAATCACATCGTGCGTCCCAGGAGAGTCGATTTCCATCAATACTACGTTAGGCCCTTGCATTTAATCGGCCTAGGAGTGTGTAATTACTCCAGTAGCAATCTGGAATTGCTTCGGTGGACAACCAGCAGGTTAAGTGCCCTAATATTTGTTATATCGTGAGATCTCTAGGTATATCATTTTACTGTGCACTGTCCATCGTTATGCTACGCGACCTCCCAAAACAATAAGTACGTCCATAAGGAATTAAATATTTTCCTTTTATGGCATAGTGAGGATATTATATAATAGGTGTAACCAATTAGTATATTTAGTTGAAAACTCAGCTTGTGTAGTAAGCGGTCGTGGTCATCATGTTCCCACGCCATGCTTGAACTCACGTGTTGCTCTAAGTAGCAGACGACGCCATTGCACCTCTACCTCTCCGTTCACTATTACAGCTAAGCAGCTGAAATCTTTTCTATTATTTCTTTAA